TTCCATTTCCCTATCTGCACCCTACTAGCCCCATTAAAGTTGTACCTATTTGCTAGGGTGCAAGCCTGATCAACGTTGCCCCATCCCAGTTGCATGCAGCTGGCAATTGAGTCGGCTGAGGGGTTCTTTAGGTCAGCAACAGCTGGAGCAACTGTATCCTTGGCGCTGCCCACCACAATGGGGGCGCCTGTGCGTGAATGCTATTTGTGTCCCTCTCAGCCACCCGCCTGCCTCTCTCTCTCTCTCTCTCTCTCGCTGGCTGGGGGATTACCCCTTTTTTGTATTGTTCCCGGTTTCAGGTTGTTGTTTGGATTTGGGGATTGGGGCAAAGTGGATGCGTATCTAAATGACAAGCGTATGCTCGAGATACGAATATGGCAAAGCCAATTACCTGACTCGCCCGCACCTGGCTCACTCCCATCCCTATCGCCTGCCCCTTCCTCCCCCCGCCCACAGTTGGCCCGCGGCTGCTTGGGGAGATGCAAAAACTGGCGGCCGCCGTCTCCGTGGGCCATGCGACAAATTTGACTTTTATGCTTTTGAGAATTGCCTGTGACACAGATGCAGCAACTGAATGTGCTCTACAGAGTGGGTGGGTGGGAAGGGGTGTGCGGGAATGGTCACATATTCAGACAGCTCGGCAATTACAACAGGTACGAATGGCCCCAGCGAGCCACTTGACTCCGGCTATGTCCATGAGGCGGACTCCGGCTCCAGCGATTCGGTTTCGGTTTCGGTTTCAGCTTCGAATACAAATGGAAATTCAGTATTCAGACTCGAATTCAGATTCCGTTGCGAGTCCGTCTAGCGATTTGCCGACAACTCTGTATCGCTGCCCAAATGTAAATGCTAAATGCGAGAACTTTTTGATGAACAACATGTTTGGCCAATTGCCGCGTGGGCGGGGCTGAGCTTGGGTTGGGTTTCGAGTGGAGGTGTCATTGCTGATGGCAATTGCTGCGTGCAAGTGCATGTGTGTGGGTGTATCTATATCTATATCTATGTGTGTGTGTGTGTGTGTGTGTGTGTGTGTGTGTGTGCGTGTATTTGTTGGTCAGCAGCAGAGAATTAAAATTCAAATTCCAATTCATCAAGATAATCGCATTTCAGAACTTTTATTTGCCAAAGCGCGCAGTGAAGTCACATGTGTGTCTGTGTGTGTGTATGCGTGTGTGTGTGTGTCTATGTGCGTGCGTGCTTGTTTGTTTATATAGCCCGGGCAGCGGATGTTGTAAATATTTGCAAATAGCCGTCGCAGCGCCAACTTCCCTCGCCAGTCGAAACGTCCCTTAACGGACTGCTTGTTTGTTGTAGCTGCTAGCTGTCCTGATGTAGTTGTTGTTAAGCACACACCCACGCACACGCACACACACACACACACACGCACACGCATTTGACAGAGAGTGAAAAGGGGTTTTTAGGGCCAATTATTATTAATTGCTTTACAGATACAAACAACGTGCCCGCAGCGCATCCAACACCCAAATAACAGCTCGCACGCACACACACACACACACACACACACAAACACACTCAAAACATAAAAAGTCAAAAGAGCTTTAAAGTCCATTGCATTGGCAAAAATGAATTTTATATTTTTATGGCTGCAGCATTAAAGCCAAAGCTGATTATCGCTCCAGCTGAAACAGAATATATATGTATATAGCAGGCATATATATATACATATACATACATATGTATGTATATATGTGCTTTCATATTTAAAGTGCCTAAATTTGGAGCTAGGCAAACGCATCGCAAATCGCATCATAACAATGGAACAGCTGAAGTTTTTATTGCATGGATACAGCGTAGCTATTCTTGAGTTGAGTCAAGCGGATTTTCCAGCCAGTTGCTCCGGGGCTGGCCCAGCTGCAGCTGCTGCTGAGCCGTTCGAGCGATAAATTGATGCGATTTAGTCTAAAACAATTTAATTGCTAAAGACCAACAGATACAAATCCAGCTTATGCACGCCGCGTACCACATCACCAGATTAGGCAAAAATTCCAAAAAAATTTCCAAAATTTTGATTTGTATATTTTTGAAATTAAATTTTATTTAGCTTTTGATTTGTATGCGGCCGCCCAAAAGCATGCTGCGCCTTAAAGCAGTCGCAATTGATGGCGCCGCCTGAAAGTATGCTGCAGTTTTTTGAAGCAGCCACCTGTAAAGCCACGCGCCGCTTAATGGTATGCAGCACAACATGTTTGGCCGCGGCGCGGCGTGCCAACATGTTGCGTTCCACACGGTGGTTGCGCGCTGTGGAACGTGTTGTTAACAGCCGACGCGCTGTTAAGGCGATGCAACTGTAACAGCAGCAACAGATCCTTGCTTCAATGTGTAACGAATAGAAAGTCATAAGAACATTCGTTTTTTTTTGTTATTTAAATTTATTTTTATTTGTGTCTCATCAATAATGAATATAACGTTACTTACAGTTCGCTTAAATTATATAATAATAATCATAATTTAATGACAATAAAGTGCAAAACGTTTCTTTTTCTTTCTTGAATAATGCCAGTTTTTTTTTTTTTCAAGTGTATACAGGTGTGTGTGTGTGTGTGTTTCTGTGTGTGTATATGTATGTTTGTGTGTGCTTAGACGGTTTCTCTTTTACTTGCTCAGCTGTTTACTCTGCGCTCTCTTGTGGTTTATAGTTTTATAAAATATCACATTTTAAGCTTTCTTTTAAGAAAAAAAAAAAAAAAAAATACAAAAAACAAAATATATTTATATATATTTCTTTATATATATATATATATATATATAAAGGAAAGTAGCATGAGAACTAAAGTTAAGAGAACTATTAATTACAACTATATATTTTTTATAGCATTTAGCATCAAATGAGCTCAAAAAACTTCGGTTTAAATCAATTCATATTTTAGCTGTCTTTTTTTCTTCTTTCTTAAATGTGTGTGTGTGTGTGTTTTTTTTTTGTGCTAAATTTTTTGTTTTCTTCATTTGTTTGTTAAAAGTTTCTGGTATTTGAATAGTTACGCTGTAATTCTTATTTTTTTTTAAATTATTTATTTTAAATCCAATATTTTTATGCATTTCATTATATTTTTGTTTTTTGTTTTCCTTTCATTTTTTGTTTTGTTTTCTTATTTTTCTCTTTACGTTTATTTTAGACATTTAAAATTCTGCAAAGTGCAGTTGAGAATTTAAAATTTGATATATTCGAGTGTGTGTATGGCAGTGTGTTTGTGTGTGTGTGAGTTGGAGCGGGTGCCAAAAAGTATGCAATGCTTTCTGAACAATGTCCCACTCCATGCTAGTCCTTGCTGTGGTCAAGTGGCTCTGCGAGAGATGCTTTCTCTCTCTCTCTCTCTCTCTGCTTTCCCTTTCGCTCTCCTAGTTTTTGCACTGCTTGATCCTACACATTTTCACAAATGCCCAATTTAAATGTATTCAGGGTGTGTTTTTTTTAAGGTTTTTCATTTTTAACTTGACATTGAATTTGTTTTTTACTTAGTTTGAGTTCGAGTTCGAATTCGAATCCGAATTCGAATTCGAGTTCGAGTTGACACCACATTTAGGGAATGCTTTACAGCGTGCTCTCTATTTAGGTCTGGAATACATACAATATGCTAACCATCGATAATACACATATACAAATACATATATGCGAGTCGTATGTATGTATGTATGTGCATTCATTTTCTTTTGTTTGTTATTAAGACACATTTTTTTATGTAATTTTCTTTTTGTAATTAGTAAGTCGACGAGTGTAAATTGTATTATCTTACTTTGTGTTTTGTTTTTTTCATTTCTTTTATATATATATATATATATATTTTTTTTTTTTTTTTAATGAGTCGTCGCTTCTCCCTTCTCTTCAGTTGGCTGTGCGTCAATTCAATTCAAAACGATTTAATTTATTTACATTTGTTTAACACTCAGAGCTTAGATCGTACTAAGAGTTATCTATGCATATAATAATAATAAGAGTATTTGAAAAAAAAAAAATGTTTTTTTTTTTTAATTTTTAATTTTTTTATTAATATATATTTATTTTATTATTAAAATGTTGCCATCAAATATCTGTTTAACTCTATATACAAGCATTTGCAATATTATAAATTAAAAAAAAAAAAAATATTGTTAGTTATATATATATATATATATATATATATGTGTATATATATATATATTTAAGTTTACAAATTTATGCATATATGTGTATATATTTTTTATTTCAATTTCGATTTTCGTTTTATTTTTTAAATAAATGCGCTTAGTTAAGACAATTTCTGGGCCAGGCCAGGCCAGATCCTAGATCTAGTCTATTATACCAAAAAAAAAAGTATATATATATAAATGTGTATACATATATATGTATGCATATGTATGTATATGTATGCATGTATGTATATATATAGAACAACAACAATTCTCAATGCTAATTCTAGACGGAATTTCCAATAAAAAAAAAAAAAACTTTATATGCCTTTCACATAGTTTCATTATTTATATATATATACATATACATATATATATGTATATATATAGCATGGATATCAATTTATTATATGTACATGAATAAATAGTATGTGTGTAAATTCTATATTTCGATATAGACACATATATATCTGTATATATATGTATGTATATATATATCGACATATATATGTATGTATATGCCTAACATTTATACGCGCGTGCCATTTATAGCCGGATATCAATGGATAATACATATATTTTAAATATATATATTTGCATTTTAACATTATGTTCTGTGTGTGCTCTCGAAAAGGTATACATCAATATAGTTATGTGTATACATATATAGTATATGTATTTATATATATATATATTTATATATTTTAACACTCAAATTTGTTATCGTTTATCGCTAATCGTTTGCTTTTTGCTTTTCCTTTTCTTTTATTTTTATTTTTTTCCATAGATAAACACACTCAATATCTATAAAAAAAATTCACTACATCTTTACGTTTTATTTCATTTCTTTTTTCTTTTTTTAGGTATACTGCCTGTGTGTGTATGTGTATGTGTGTGTAAATGAAGAAACTACCTATGTAACCAGCTAACATTAAACATCTGCAACTGCTCAATCCGTATCCGTATCCGTATCCGTATCCGCACCTGTTTCGGACTCCGTCTCCTGCTCCTGCTCCCCTTCCATCCTCTCCGTCGCCTGTCCCTCCTCCTGCTCTCGCTCCTCTATATAGTATAACACTTTGTAGTTCGTCTGCTGTAGGTACCGTGTGTTCCGCCTTGCTGCCCACCTCCTGATGCCCACTCACAACATGTCCGCAAAGGAGCCGTATTGCTCGTGGAAGATCGGACGGCAGCACTCCTCGACGGCATCGTATTTGTAGTTGTAGCGACTGCGGCCAGTGTGACCGTATCGATGTTTCGGCTTCTGCTTTTGCTGCTGCTGTTGTTGCTGTTGTTTCTTGTGGCTGGAGATGGAGCTGTTGCAGCAACAGTTGCTGTTGCTGTTGCCGTTGCTGTTGCTGTTGCTGCAGCAATTGCTGCAATTGTTGTTGATACGCTGATGCGTATGCAGATGCGAATGCGAATGCGAATGCGAATGTGGCTGGTAGTAGTGGATGGCGTGGCATGAGGCAGTCTTTGTATTGTATTCCTATAGAGAGTGAAAGAGATAGAGAGAATGATTTATTAATTCGAAAAGTGCAATCAAATTATGCACAGTTAATTGAAATTTAATCATGCATTTATTATTTAAATTATTACAAATTTAACTTAATTATATTAATCGCTTTCGTTTCACAAAGAAAAATCGATGTGGTTTACAAATACTCAGAGATTTATTTAGGGATTGAGTTTCTTCAGTTGGTATTAGTAAATTTTGCGAAAAAACGAGGGATCGAACTTGATTCCCAGCTTCCTCAGATAGTATCCCTCATCTTATATGCTACTCTTTACTACACTTTATTTTCTATTCGCTATTCTTTCTTCTCTATCCCCAATTCTCTATACTCTCTGCTTTCTATTCTTTACTCTCCATTATGCATTCTCTTTTCTCTATTTTATAGTCCCTATAGTTTATTCTCTACTCTCAATTCTATTTTTTCCTTTCTCTATATTCTATTCTTTATTCTCAATTCCTTCTTTCTTATCCAATATTTAGTCCTTTATTATCTAGTCCTTTATCCTCTATCTATCTGTATATTATTATTATCTATCTCTATTTTCTATTTTCTGTTTTCTATTTATTCACTATTTACAATTCCCTTATTCCTTTCTCTATATTCTATTATTCATTGTTTCTATCCTCTATCCTTTATGAAGCATCCTATATCCTATATCTTCTATCCTCTATCCTATATCCCATATCCTATATCCTATATCCTATATCCCATATCCTATATCCCATATCCTATATCCTATATCCTATATCATATATCCCATATCCTATATCCCATATCCTATATCCTATATCCTATATCATATATCTATATATCCATATCCTATATCCTATATCCTATATCCTATATCCTATATCCTATATCCTATATCCTATATCCTATATCCTATATCCTATATCCTATATCCTATATCCTATATCCTATATCATATATCCCATATCCTATATCCCATATCCTATATCCTATATACTATATCATATATCCCATATCCTATATCCCATATCCTATATCCTATATCCTATATCATATATCCCATATCCTATATCCCATATCCTATATCCTATATCCTATATCATATATCCCATATCCTATATCCTATATCCTATATCCTATATCCTATATCCTATATCCTATATACTCGATCCTCTATCATCTATTTTCTATCATCTATCCTCTATCCTATCTCCTCTATTATCTATTTTTTAGTCCCAATTCTCTCTTCTTCTGCTCTTCTCTCTTCTGCTTTTTTTTGTTTTCTGTGTCTGGCAAACTGTTATATTTATAAAATCAGATTTCTTCTATTCTCTTGTCTCCTACTCCATCTTCTTTATCATTGTGTTGCTCTCTCTCTCACACTACCTGTCCCTCCCTCTACCTCCCCCCCTCTCTCTTCCACTACATTTTGCTTATCAGTCGCCGTAAATTTTGAGTGTCTGTCTGGCTGCTGTCTCTTTGCTCTCGCTGGTCAGCAAAATATTGCCAAAAATTTGTCGCAACAAATTGCCAAAAGGTTTTCCCCTCCATTTATTGCTGTCGCTGGCGCACTGCCCGCTCTCCCCCTCTCTCTCTCCCTCTCTCTCTCTCTCTCTCTCTCTCTCTCTCTCTCTCTCTCTCTCTCTCTCTCTCTCTCACGCTGTGTATAGCATTTACGAATGCTTGAAGGTTGCTGCTGCTGCTGCTGTGGCCCTGAAGCCGCATATATATTATCAATAAATTGCATCTGACTGCCAACGCAGTTGCTTCGCCTGCCACGCCCACGCAGCGCCCTCATAGCTATGCTTCAGTTTATTATTAAAAGGCAAAATAAAATGTTGTCTTTCTCCCACTCGCTCTCTCTCCCTCGCTCTCTCTCTCTCTCTCTCTCTCTCTCTCCTTCTCTCCCCTCTCTCTCTCTCTCGCTCTGTTGGCACTCTCGTGCAGCTGCCGCTTGTGGCACCTTGTTCTAATTTATTTATTGCCGCATGCATGTACAATATAATTTTATTGGGTGTCTGGCCAGCAGCGGGTAGCTGCCCGTTAAGCCACCCTTCTCCTCACTTATCTATGGTTGCCATTTTGTGCTTGTCTTGGCATTCACACACACAGACACACACAAACACACACACACACACGGTCACTTGACCGCATTGCGAGCTTTAACAATTACGTTGGAAAATTTGTGAAAAGTCAACTGGATAACGGGCCGCCAATTTGATACACTTGCTCCACTCACACACACACACACACTCGCACACACATGCGCACCCTTGTTATTGTTGCTGCTGTTCAAGGGGCAGCGCTTGACATTTGGCGCCAAAGTTATTAAGCGGATAGACGAGCTGCGTACTACGAAAAGCGGCTTAAACAACACGCAAATGTTTTACAAAAGCAACAGCGCTCACACACGCACACACACACACGCAGCAGCAGCACACATGTGCGTGTGTGTGTGTGACGCAAAAGGTGACCTGCCTCCGCTTCTGCTTTTGCCTCTACCTCTGCCCGCTCGCCTCGAACGCTTTTTGTTTTAAGTTTATTGATGTCGACGTGCGTTTTTCATGCCTCAGCAAACAGTTGCACGAAAGTGGACAAAGAGACAGAGAGCGGGAGGGAGAGAGACAGAGAGTGAGAGAGAGAGAGAGAGAGAGAGGGAAAAAGGGAGGGAGGAAGCGAGAGAGATGATGGCAGACGCGTCTGCGACGTGACAAAACCCATTATAGATGCCACCGCAAAGATAACACTTCGACAGAGGACCCAGGCCAGCAGCAGAGGCAGAGGCAGAGGCAGCAGCAGCGGCAGCAGCGGCAGCTACAGGTCGACGGCAGAGGCAGAGACGTGGGCAGAGGCCAAGCTGTTGGAGTCTGAGAGCTCGCATGAAGCGCCAGCTGCAGCTGATGGATGTGTGCATAATGTGTGTGTGTGTGTGTGTGTGTGTGTGTGTGTGTGTGTGTGAGCGTATGAATGGCAATGAAACAGGCAGTCCCAAAAATAAAATGATAAGACTCATAACATACCCCGCAGGCGAAGCAAGCAGGCATGCCAGACTAAGAAACACGAGACAAAACTTTTGAAAAGATAAGTGAAGAAATAAGATAGAGCTAGAGAAAGAGAAAGAGATGGAGAGTGTGAGAGAGAGGAAGAGAGAGGGAAAAAGAGAGAGACGGAGAGAAAGAAAGAGATAGAGTGAGTGAGTGAGAGAGAAAGCGAGAGAGAGAGAGAGAGAAAACAAGAAAGTTATATCAACACTGAGAGAAATTAGCTCTAAGCTGTATGCCTGGCATGACATACACATACGTATGCAATATACATAGATACATACATGCATAAATTAAAAAAGTTTATAGTTACATATACACTGAGAGAAATCTAAATGAAGTCATCTGCCTATCAGAAGTCTTAGGAATCGAAGGGGTTTTCCAATATCTCAGAGCAGGCACAACAACTCGAAAGACTGTGCAGGGTATCTGCTAGTCGAGCAACTGTGTTTTGTTTGCTCAGCTTTGGCATTTGTTTCACAGTTTTTGGGATATGGAGAATAGTGACGAGGGGTGACGAGGGGTGACGAGAGGGACATCGGGTGCGGCTTCATAAATTTCATTTTGTAACCATCAAAAAGTTAAGTCAACGATAAATTGAATGGCTGCTTGATTGACTGATTGACTGACTGGTTGACTGGCTGACTGACAGAATGAATGAGACGTTGCCATGACCCCGTGTCCTTCCACTAGCACCCAAACGAGACCCAGCCATCCGCAGGCTCCCGCTCGCCTGGACACAGTTGTCAGCTGGTTGACCCCAACCTAACCCCCTCCCCCACCTGAAAAAAGAGAGAATTAAGTCAGGCTGTTGGCGCTGCTGTTCGTCGGAAATTATGCGGCTCGTCGGCTGGCCAGACAGCGCAGACAGTTGTGCACACATGCACACCTGCACACCTGCACACCTGCAGGCAGACACCTGGACAGCGGCACAGCATCAGAAGGCTTTACTATATATCCGAAAAAGCAACAACAACTACAACAACGGCAACATGCCACAAGTCAAAAGCCGTCAAAAAGCGTCATTGAACTTTTAACCAACTTATCGGGCCATGTAGCGCACTGTCCAAAGAAGCACGGCCTATGTGGGCGTGTTGGGGGCGTGTCACGCACATGCTACATGGTCATATAATGAAAGGACACACAAATCGGCACAGCGGCAAGAGAGTGACAAAATGGAGGAGGAGTAGCAGCAGGACAGAATGAGAGAGAGAGAGAGAGAGAGAGAGAGAGAGAGAGCAGCGGTTCGGTAAGTTCGGCATGTCCAAGGGTCAATTCATTGGAATGCTATAGAATAATATATTATGCATATATATGCATAAATTGCCGACTTGAATAAAGTTGAGACTATGAGCAGACAAATAAAAAGAAAACAAGTTGTCAAAGGAGACAGAGAGACAGAGACAGAGACAGAGAGAATGTCCTTTTCTTAACTCATTTTAAATTTTTTTTTACCAAGAAATAAAAATTTTGTATAATTTTGTATATTAGACACAAGGTTAATAGAGCAGACATAGGTAAAATTTTAATATAAATATAAATTAAAGCTCTTAAAAAACGTTGTATAAATTATAAAAAAAAAAGAAACAAATTTTAAAAAATACCAACTTACTGCCTCTTGAGTTTACGCTATTTACCAGTCTGTCTATCTATATAAATATATATATATATATATATATATATATATATATATATATATCTGTCGCGAACTAACAAAAGCTGTTGCCTACTTAGTGGGGCTCGAAAGTTTTCGCACAGTGGGCGGCGTAAGGCGTTTCCGCATAAAACTTAAAATATGCTTTGACTATATTATATACACATATATATATTTCGATATCTCTTGCAAATATTATGTACATCAATAATGTCTTTAGCTTTAGCTGAATTAAGCAGTTTGCAAAAAAAATATATATATATATAAAGGGAAAAAGTGTTGCCTACTTATTCGAGCGCTAAAGTTT